TGTGTGTCCTTTCTGTGTAGGTATATTATTAAGTTCTCAATCAGATCATAACTATACAGCAGGTATTCAATTTACATCTTTTGTAAGTCGAGGAAAATTAAAAATTGTATCAGAGGCTGTATCTTTGATCATCAAAGAATTGGAAAAATCTTTTCACACTATAGTAGTAATAAAAAAAATATTACACAAGAATGTGAAACAAAGTATCATTATGTTAACAAAAAAAAATATATCAAATAGAAATTCACTTTTTTTTTCCCCAAATTCTCACCCTGTTAATGTTGATTTAGGTTCTCCATCTTATGAATATAGTCTGTTTACAGCTATAAGTAATAGTTATATCAACATAAGAATGCGTCATTATGCAAAAGAAATTAATTCTAGGGAAGTATTTAAAAATAAATCTTCACTGAGGCAAAAATTCACTAAATTAATATTATTTAATAATTTGTAAAATAAAATTAGATTTGTATGTTTTTTAATTTTTTTAAGGTAATATTAAAAATAAATGTAAGACTGGCATTTGGCATTATGTATTTATGCTGTATTGTTGTATCAAATATAAATATTAGAAAAATAATGGTTTGTTTTAATTGACTGCTTATGAATATTGGGTACCTATTAACTACTCACTAGTAGTTGCTTATTATAAATGATTTCTAAGTACCTAATTTCATTACAATATAATTCTCGGACCACAATTTAGAACAATGTATTTAAAAATTAATTATTTTCAACAAAGAAATTCAAAATCGTACATTTGTAACTACAGAAAAAATAAATAAACAACGAACGTTGCGAGCACGGAGCAACGCGTATTAAAGCTTATCTGAATATGCTACGTGAGTTTTTTTTGCCCTGCAATGGTGGGGGAACAAGGCTACGCCGACGGCTCGTTTTTCGTTGTAGTGATATCATATGGAGTACGCGCTCCAGTGTAGTATATACATCTCGATGTATATAAATAACACTTAATTTGCAAATAGTTATGTTACAGAGTTACACTTAAAAATATATGTTTACAAGAATTACAATTAAATGTATTTTTTTTTTGTTTCTTATAGTCAGCAAAAAGTGTTTCCAAGTTCTGGATCAACTAGGATATCACTGTACAACATAAACTACCTACTCAATTTACGTTTTCTTCAGTTTATACATATATTTGGTCATTACCAGTTTCATATGGATAAAATCTACACAACTGAATTATGATTTGTTAATTTTTTTAATTAATTATGATTGCAAAAAATGAAACATTAAATTGTTCTTAAGATGGTAAGAAACAAACTATTGTTCATAAAAATACTAAAAAAATTTAAATTCAATTAAGTTGTACCTTTGTTTAAGGTTTTGATAAATGTATTTTCTATCTAATAATTGTATTAAATATAATTAAATAAGATGTTATATTTAACTTATGAATAATTCAACAAATAACTAAATTATTAATTGGTACAATGTTTCCAATTCATAATTATTCGGAGAACTTTACATGTAAATTTTTTTAAAACGAATAATATATGAATTGTAATAATAATAATCTTTATACAACGGAATATAATTTCTATTTCATTTTAAATATACAGTGTGGTACAGACATACAGTGTAAAGTATACATAATTATTATAATATTTAGTATAAAGATTTACAATAAATAGTTTAAATTTAAATATAATAACAATAATGATCCAGTCTAACACTTACCATAATAGCATATATCAGTAATGTTCTAAAGATTCTGAATTTTTACTAACTATATTCATTACTTTTAAAATTTTTAGTGACTTATACGTATGTAAACTATATATGGATTGTAATATATTATTATACAATTAAAAAAAACTTACCTATATAAAAACTGTTATATTTTACTGCTGTGTTACGAAACGTCTTATAAAATATTAAGTGTCCAGATATTCAAAAAAGGTTAAGAACTGGCCTATATTATAGATACAATGTTATATACATTATTATTTATTATATACTAAAATATTACTTTTTTGATATGTTGATCATGGTTAGTATTATACTTAAGTAAACCGTGTTCTGTGAAGAAAATTATTATTAAATTAGCCAGTAGTGTCGTGCAGTTCATTAGTATATAATATAGTCATGGTTGTCTATCATTAAGTACTGTTTAGACTTACCAACTATATGTATATTCATCAATAGAGATTTACTACCTGTTATACATAATTAAACATATTGTTACAAATTATTTTATTTGTATAAAAGTATACCAATTATATTAATATTTTAATACTTTAATGTAATTAGTTATTATGTATAAAAGTTTTTTGTTCTGGCATGCGAGAGACTTACAATATCGCAATTTACACAATCGATATCTTAATATGTTATAAATAATACACAATACTTTGGTACAATATAAAACTAAATTAATTTTAAAAATAATATCATATTTTATTTATACGATTGTACCAAATAAATATGTACTTGGAACAAAATAAATCTGCTTGGATACAACATTTCAGTCAATTTTATGTGTACATTTAATATGCATTATATTGGTATGATAGGTAGTAATTGATTTTGAATTTCACAATATAACTTCAGAAATATTTATATGAGACAAAGATTTCAATTGCATGGACATCAAACATAAAAAATAACGTATGATGGTTTATTTCCATTGTTAATCATTTTTCATATAATGAATCGTTACATGTAAGATTGTTTATTGCATTTTGATAAGTTGATCTTAAGATTGTAGAGCCTAGGAGAATAATAATGAATTATAAATTAACAATCTTATGTTATGCTTACCTGCATCTACCAGGTGAAGATTCTACCTAAATACATAAATAATACATAAGTATATAGTTTAATGTTGTTGTTCGAGCGCGGAGATAAAGTCACCTCGAACAAGTTCCCCCCTCCAGTGTCCGGCGACAGTTCGTCTGGCGATAGCCAGACCGTTGACCAGCATTGCCAGATGTACGATAATTATCGTATTTGTACAATTATTATTGCCACTGTACGATGTACGATACTAAATCAACTATCGTACAAGATAATACGATAATTTAAGGTGTTTATGAAAAAAATAAAAAACTCAATTTATTTTCTAAGCAAATTATTACAACTCTTACACCATGGTTTTATCTACCACCAGGAATACGAATGTTTATTTAACAAAATAAATAGTGGTAAAATCACAGATAACATGGGTATCTGTTATCATGATTTATCTTATCTGTGATAATATTCTATTATTGATAATATTAATCAAAAATCTTTACGTTTCTAAATTCGTATTACACTTACAGGTTACTTCTGTATTCTGTAGTTATTTATAAATATATTGTTTTTAATTATATTATCAATAATCACGGATATAGTATATTGTACTCCAACACTACACTGGCATATTGTTCACTTGTTCTGTAGTCTATCGACACTTGTCTGTTATACCTTGTATGGACGTTATAATATTACCAACAGAACGCACTTATTTACGTTAATACATAATTTTTTATTTCGTCGATTTTACGAATAATTCAAACGGAAAGATTTGTGTTAAAAACGTCACGGGTAAGTTTATTTTAGTAACGACATTATTATGTTGGTTTCTAAATTTTAATATGGCTTTATACTTTTATAATAATATTGTATAAAACTATAAAGCATTATAAAAAAAAATAGTAGCATTAAACTATCAAATACTTATTAAATTGAACTGTTTTAATTGTTGTCAATAGTAGGAGGAAAAGGCCGCTCCGAGTGACCCTCCGCTTCAAACCCCCCCGCCCCCCACCATCCGCTTGTCAGCGCCCTCCCCGCCACCCACCTCCCACCTGTACCGCAACACCTACGACACGACCGTCGGGCCACCGCGCCACCCAAGTCACGACCGTTGGACGCCACCACGCAGACGTCCCGTTTCTTTATACTCGTTGGTATCGCTATCAACCAACGATTTGGGTGGACGCAGTTTTTTCGGTGTATCCATTATATAAATATATTAAAAACCTATACATATATATATAATATTATAAACTATTATTGGCAGGAAAAAATTAGTAACTTAATTTGCGTCTTGCCCTTTCACGTGCTTCGAATGCCCTTGTCCTCGGTCTCTTGACTTCAGGCTAAAAACATTAGGTTTCCTTTAGTATAAAATGATATGTAAAAATATATTCGTATTACCTCAGTTTCGGACGATGATGATAACCAGCCCCTTGCTAATTGTTTGTATGTTTTACTCTTCAAATCTGCTATTAAGCATGTGCCGGTGACAGAAATACACTCTTTTAATTTTTTGACCTCGATGAGCTTAAATAATATTCAATATCACTAATGTTCGTACCTTTGGCTAATGGCATTTCGTTCCCGAGAAATAATGAAATCCTACAAGCCTGAAGTAATACGACTGGCCGTCTGTACATATTTTTCATCTCAATAACTTCTTCCATGGTATCACTTAGTTCCAAGATCCTAGGAACATTCTCCCTAGTCAGATGTATCTTCTGATCTTGCTGTAGACATTTAAGAGACAGAATGTTGTCACCGTTGCATTCTTCTATTGATATCAATTTAAACTTCTCCAACAGTAAATGGGAAGGTCGTAAAAAGTTTAAGTTGTTAAGTAATACATTCAGCGATTTATATAAGGCCACACTTATTTTCACACATTGTGGTTGCTCGTAATACACAGAACACAATTAAACAAGAAATCTGGATCAAGGCCAATATTTACAAAAATATTATCATCCACGAAAAAAGTTGAACAATCAATAAGTTTAGTAACCATTATGACGGATTAAACGCATAAATTGTTATGACTTTAAGAGCTGGTTGCGACTGACTTGGCCTATGCTCATGTCGCGCGTTTTATGCAGAACAATCTAGCGCTCGTTGAGAGTGGGAGTGAATCCCCACTCTATAGTAAGATATATGGTTGGAGGTACGTATAACGTAAGGAAATAACACATGTTATGATATACAGAATATTTATTATCATCATTAATAGGATATTATTAATAAAATAATTTTTTAATACACCTATTAGATGATTTTGCTGACTTGCAGTCTGAGTAGTCGATCAGAGGTGGTGGGGATGATGGCCATCTGTTAAAATATGTCGGACCGTCGTACTCGCCAACAGCCTATAAAAAGGTATAATTATTTATCATACAAATTATATAATATATATATATCACCTTTGGTTTGGTTTTCCGAATTGGTGCCCATGCTGTGTCCGAATGTGTGGATGAATATTCTCTGAACCCCCTCTCCTCGTCAGCTGCCTATAAATAAATAATAACATTTAATTATTCAATATTTTATTATTTTAATTTTAAATTACCCGTGACTGTGATAAATCATCTTCGTTATATGTCATCAATGGAGACATACTTGAGTATCTTGGTGGTGATGGCTGTAGCATTTTCATGTCAAAGGTTTCAGTATTATACTAAAATAAAATAGAAATAAGTAATCGTATTATAAAAAAATCGTATGTTATTTTTACCTTTAATTCCTCAACTTCTTGCATCCTCTGGGTAGGCGGGAGAAATTTGATCAGTTCCTCATCTGCAGCCTAATTTAATGCAAAATATGTTAAATAATTTCAAAATAATATATATATTCATACTTTTAGCGAATTCTCCGTCATCCAGTTGATTGCCAGCGGTTCAGTCGCGAATAATTTGATCTGGTTTATAAAACTTTGGTTGTTCTTTGGTATATGCTTTGCAACTAAATCGATATGAATCACTTTAATTATTGTTATTACTTCTTCGCGTGTTGCGTATTTATCAATATTGAAATCAGTCTTCAGGTATTCGGATATTTGATCGAGTTGATTTAAAATACAGTGAAACCTGACTTAACGGACACCTGTATATAACGGACACCNCAAACGGAAAGATTTGTGTTAAAAACGTCACGGGTAAGTTTATTTTAGTAACGACATTATTATGTTGGTTTCTAAATTTTAATATGGCTTTATACTTTTATAATAATATTGTATAAAACTATAAAGCATTATAAAAAAAAATAGTAGCATTAAACTATCAAATACTTATTAAATTGAACTGTTTTAATTGTTGTCAATAGTAGGAGGAAAAGGCCGCTCCGAGTGACCCTCCGCTTCAAACCCCCCCGCCCCCCACCATCCGCTTGTCAGCGCCCTCCCCGCCACCCACCTCCCACCTGTACCGCAACACCTACGACACGACCGTCGGGCCACCGCGCCACCCAAGTCACGACCGTTGGACGCCACCACGCAGACGTCCCGTTTCTTTATACTCGTTGGTATCGCTATCAACCAACGATTTGGGTGGACGCAGTTTTTTCGGTGTATCCATTATATAAATATATTAAAAACCTATACATATATATATATATATATATAATAAAAACATATACAGACATATTAAAACCATATACATTCTTTTAACAGGATACTAAGCTAAATACTAACGCGATTAAATTGTTTAATATAATTCCATATTTATTCAACAAAAATATATATTATACATATTATATATCTGCATGTTAGCCGACAACATCATACGATTCTGATTTACATCTCGGTCTTGACTATTATCACGGGTATTACGATTGTCATTAAATTCATTATTAACATTATCAATAAATTGTGCACCTTTATATAATAATACAAATACACATTTAGGGTTATGCGAGGCGTGCTGTTGCCACACTCCGTCATTTTCCACCCATTTTCCCAATAACAAGCCGCAGTAGAAACATTGTACTAAGTCGCCCGCCCCGGTAAAAGTGAAACCGCATTCAGTCAGCGAATATTTATCTTGATACGATTGTGATGGGTGTGAATCGAATGTTTTCAGCCTCGATATAAAACTTATATACTCGGGATATTCGGGATTAGAGTTTTCTTGCAAGGAACGCACTAGAGATCGACAATCGACAGAACTTTTTTATAAATTCATTGTATCGAACCGTATAAAAATAATAAATCGTAGATAATACGTTCTAGGTTTGAAAGTTGATAAGACACCTCTACCCAGTGTAAAGGTTTGTGAGTAACTGTCAGCTGTATGAACTAGTAATTCATCAGCAGTGTAAGCTAAGCAATGCAATAACAATAATATAAACTAAAAATATTTGGATAGTGGTATGTAAAATACAACGTTGAGTTATTCCCTATTATCAGGTACCCGCCACACATGTGACAAGATGTGTAAGATGTGGGCGTAAATTATATATATAAATATACACACCAATCATATAGTAAATTGTGATATACGCCGAAGTCGAGAGCTGACCAAACTTAACGGACGATTATTTCTTATCGTAATGTCCAACACCACGTCGAATACAGATCAGACAGCCAACAAAGTTCAATCACGTTCCACATCCTTGCGTATATTCGTCTCTCGTCTACATTTTATTATTATTATCTTACAACACTGTGTGTCGTATATTTACGAAAATGTTTAACTGTACGATTTTTAATAAAGTTTACGTTCATAAGCGTGATTTAAACAGGTACGCTAAAACCCACGATGGATCAACGAATTCGTGTGGGATATGTCTCCGGGACAAACTTCGAAACCACGTACAAAATCTTCATGGTAAGTACATTGATTATTATGACGTTGAGCCGAAAAAACCTTTTTGTTATTCATAGTTACGTAAACTAACATTGTTGAATTATTATCATATATTATAGTTATAAGTTATTAATTTTTAAATCAGTTGTTTGTATGATGAAAAATTAGAGTTATGGTGAGTTATGTAGAGTATGGTGTTTTTTCGGAACAACAACGTTTAGCTTAATTAGGGGTTATTAATTAAATTAATTTTAAAATATAGTGATAGCTAAAAACACTCCCGAATACCACAACGCTGTACGGATAGGCGACGCAATGGGTAAATCATTTTTTCTTATTAATAACAATAATAACGACGCTATCTTAATATTAATAATGTATGTTAGGTCGCACATCAGTCATAAACTGGGCACCCCCCGCCACTACCCCTGACGCACAACTATATGTTTCGCCACTGCCGTACATCACGAATAGCCGCCGTCGTGCTGGCACATCTACTCCCCAGCCTCAACCCTCATCAACATCGGTCGCCCGCATACCGGTTATCGTTTCCCCACCACCCGCACAGGCTATCGTCGACGGAACAGTCGCAAGATCCCTCGCCACCACCGCACTAACACTTTCACTTTCACAACCGTCCATCGAGGAAGACGTGGCTCACACGAAAAATAGTAGTATAAATATCAAACGTAAAAAGGCGAGCATGCATAGGGTTAATACGTCGGGCTTTATTGAGATCGAGTCATCACATAAACGAGCAATATTATGGTACTTTAGGAAGAACGTTGATAACGTAGCTAGTTATCGTGCGTTCCTCAATTCGAAAGAGTCCGAATTAATCGCGAAATTACGCGAGCGCGCGAGTATTAATCCTGTAAAATACAACCTTAAATTAGAGGCCACATACGTAATACCAAACTTGGACAATTCTGCTCAAAATCAGGCATTTAAAACTTCAGCCCGTGAACTCTATGCCCACAGCAATGTCAAGGTTTGGTGGATCGTGATTTCGCATCGCTCCAGGCCGAAGAAGATTCGTACACCGGGAAATACAGCGGGTTCGCCTTATCGTGCATTGACGGACTGCTCTTGGGTGTGTACGAGTATACGCCTACCGTTGCCGGAAAGTATTCTGAGTCGGGAGGCCGTTGTTAACTCTCAAAATATCGACTCGCAATGTTTCAAGTGGGCGATTCTCGCCAAACATGTGTCTAGCGATCGCACACGAGTGGGCATGAATTATTCGAGGGAAGAACATCGTTACGACTTTTCTGCGCTGTCAACTCCCACTCCCGTATCGGAGATACAATTATTTGAAAGGTCAAATCCGGGTACGACAGGAAATGTATACGGTGTGAGAAATTGTGTAGAATATAAAAAAAATAAAAAATCTATCCCACAATCTGCCGCATACCCACTGCGCGTCGTAGAGGAGGAAAAGGCAAACCATTTCGACCTACTACTAATCACCGGAGAGGGTGCTAATAATCACTATGCGTATATATCGAATTTTTCACGCCTAGCCAGCCCGCAAAAAAATAATCATCAACATCGCTTATTTTACTGCAAACTGTGCTTCGTTAGTTTTGAGGACCGCCCATTAAAATATAAATTGTACGGCGAGCGGGCGTTGGCGGATCGTCGCTTGTTGTGTAACGCGCACAAACCGATTGTTCCTTTGATACCGAAAGAGGGAGATACGCTGAAATTCGAGGCGTGGTGTAAGACGGAGCGGCTGCCGAAGCCTTATTACTGAAAACGGACCGGAAACAAGGGGCGAATACCACTGCAATACACGATCGCCATCCAATGAGCTACGGGTACCATGTGGTCGCGGCGGAGGGTGTACCAACTGAGTTGTTCGATCAGTTCGACATACCGAGGGTACCGGTCATTTTCCGTGGTTCGGCGACCGAAGATGACGTGGCCAAGCGTTTTGTTCGCGACGTACTCGGTGTGGCCGAAAAAATAGCCAGATTATATAAGGAAGTAATTGTACCGATTATTATGAGTGTTGAGGATTGTCACGTGCACGATGCCAAGATAATGTGCGACTTGTGCAGCTGTGCGTTTAGAGAACGCAACTGTAAAACTGCACATCACGACCATTTGTCTGGACGTTTTTTAAAAACGTTATGCAACACGTGCAACCTCAAGTTGAAAACACCAAAATTTGTACCATGCTTCCTGCATAATTTGTCTAACTACGACGCGCATTTCATCGTTACAAATTTGGCGAACGACGACAATAATCGAATATCGGTAATCGCGAACACTGAGGAGAAATATATTTCGTTTTCGAAATTTATAAACAACACGTTCTCAGTCAGGTTTGTAGACACGTGTCGGTTCATGGCGTCGAGCTTGGCCCACTTGGCGGAGAACCTCTCCTCTGCGAACTTTGATAAGTTTCGAGAAGTCGCAAAAGTGTTCGCCCCGTCGGAGATGTCGTTGGTCACGCGGAAGGGCGTGTATCCGTATGAATACACAGATTCGTGGGAAAAATTACAAGTACCATCGTTACCGGACAATTTTCTATTCTACAGCGCGTTGACGGAGACGCACGTGTGCGACGAAGACTACGATCATGCGACTCGGGTTTGGTCCCATTTTGACTGCTCTTCGCCAGGCGCATATAGCGACTTGTATCTACAAATCAATGTGCTGATCTGCGCCGATATCTTCGAAAATTTCAGGGATAAATGCATGACCACATATCACCTGGACCCGGCACAGGGTTTACCAGGCTTCAGCTTTGACTGTATGTTGAAACTTACGAAAGTTGAGCTTTTTCTTTTGGATGATTATGAGAAAATACTCTTCATAGAGTCCGGTACGCGTGGTGGTCTGGTGCAGGCCAGCAAGCATCACGCTCGCGCCAACAATCCGGAGACGCCAGGATACAATGCCGACGAACCCAGGTTAGGTTATACTTAGATGGTGATTATAAAATATAAATTATATATCCGCATCTATATTGCGGATAATAATACCGATATATTTACCGGTGTATTAACCGATTTTTTTCTTTCTAGTTAATAATTTGTATGGGTACGCGATGTGCAAATATATACCGATTAG